CAAAGTGGGCCCACTTGGCGAACCCTGCTTTCATACGCTATGGACCGACGGTATGCTAAAGTTGATTATGGTTTAATGAATTGTAAAAAGCACGTTTTTACAAAATACATGGCGAAAATGGACATTACCGTTCGAAAATCTCATTTTCGAAAAGGGAAAATTAAGCACTTTAAAAAAAAACAATAAAAAAGCACGTTTAAGGGCTTTTAAAAAAAACGAAAATAAGCACCTTTAAAAACGCTACGCACCATGTACAAAAGTAATTGTACAACATGTGTTAGAAAAAATTTATTCAGAGTATCTGCTACATTTTAGATTTTCAAATCCATGACTAATTTTAAGAATTTTTCATGACTTAACGAAGTTACTATTTTCTCCAACAAATGGGCAACAATAAATTTAAAAAAGCAGTATAATAACATTAATTGAAATGATAGGTATAACCAAAAAACTGTTATACTTTGCATCTTCATATTTATAGATTTCAAGTTAAAAAGAAAAAAAACAGAGTAAAGAAAGAGTAGATGCAATAAAATAGCTGGAAAAAAATACAAAAGCAAATATTTTTTTCTTCTTTTTCTCTGCAGAATTATATTTTTAAGATACTTTTCTTGTTCATCCAAGAGGAAAGAAATATTCTCAATCTTTCTTTTCTCGCTTCGGAATAAAATAAAGTTTGCCAATACTAAGCTTGCTTCAGTTAAAATTTTAAATTGATAAAATAAAATTTCTGAAATCACAGGAAGTTTAAAAAAGATAATTCCCTCAAGAAATGATGTTTTTTTCTTCTTCTTTTTGTTGAAAGAACACCATAATTTTTAAAGAACAGGATAAAAACACTTTATATTTTAGTAAAATATGACTGTAATTAAGGATTTTGTTACAAATTCAGATTTTCAGGGAACAATGAAATGGTAAGGGGGATAGATTCCATTTTTCGGCGATCTAAATCCACAATTTTTTTAAAACAGAAAAAAAAATTTAAAATTTTGATATTTGACGACAAATTTTGCTCAATACCGAAATTCATGACTTTCCAGGTGAGCGGATACCCTGTTTATTAAATAAAAGATGTTACAAAAGACCAACATGAACGCAAACATTTAGACTACTATTATTTAAAAAAACTAATTTATCACAAACTTTAAAAATATAGTGTGTAAATAGTATCAACAATACTGTATTTAGTCAATGACCATTTCTGAGAAAAGCTCTTATTCCATTATACTACAACAAAAAGGTTTCTCACCAGTGAAAATATAAAATAACTTGTGAAAAATTAAAAACTTTTATTTTTTTTAAATATATTAAAAGAATGAAGTTTTCCATCAGAATGAATAAAACTACAATAAATTAGATGGACCTTAAGTGGAAAAAAAAGAAAACAACATAAGCAAGAATACGGCTTTTAAGAAGCGCGAACATGACTGTGACTAGTTAAATAATTCTTTCTTGAAAAGGCTTTATTACATATACTACATGAGTAAGGTTTCTCATCACTATGTTGAGTCAAACTACCTCTTAATGAAAAACTCTTATTCCATATAACACAAGAAAAAGGTTTCTCACCAGTATGAACACGCATGTGATCAGTAAGATTACATTTTGTGAGAAACTCTTATTATATATAATAAAAGATTAAAGCTTCTCACCAGTATGGACACGACTATCTCAAACTATTTTTTAGTGAAAAACTTTTATTGCATGCACCAGAGTTGGCCGTTGATTACAGTAATCGATTACAACTGTAATTGATTACAGATAATTACAGCTATGTAATCAATTACTTGTAATCACGATTACAAGTAATCAATTACTTGTAATCGTGATAACAACTTTCAAAAAATTTTGATTACAGCTGTAATCATGATTACAAGTAATTGCGATTACAAGTAATCACAACAAAAACGATTACAAGTAATTATGATTACAAGTAATCAAAATATATGATTACATGTAATCATGATTACATGTAATTTGATTACATGTAATTGTGATTACTTGTAATCAAACTATACGATTACAAGTTATTACGATTGTATACTATAGTCAAATTTTTTATGTAAGTATTCATGTGTTTACATATTTTTATGTACATAGAATGTACGCACGCATGAACGTACAATTTGCGATTCCTATACATACAATGTATGCACAAACGTTGTTTGTACGTACAATATTCATAATTATATTGTAATATACTTAATGCAATGCGCATATGCTTAGTACATATAATTATGCATTTATGATACATGTACGCATGTATGTTAGTTTGTACAAAAAGGCAATGTTTTGTATCTTTGTATACATAGACAATGTATGTATGAACGTATATGAAAATAATGTTTATGCGTTTGCATGCTTTTATGTACTTAAGTGCATATATTGTATAAATTTACGATAATAGCACGTATATACAATGTACGTTTGTATATAAAATTGTACGTATTTGCGTACAATATGTAAAAATGTTATTTAAAGGTACAATATATGCACATAGTTGCGTAAATAAAATGCGTACATGTATACATGCATATTTATATGTACATCGATATATGTGCACGCAAAGTATGTACTTATGTACAACTTACGTATGTACTTGTATAACTACATACTTTGTTAATACTTATGCGCATGTAATGCATGGATGTACAAAAAAATAGTTATATGCACAATGTATGCATGTGCATACAACGTATACATGTACATAATTACAAGTAATGTACAAATACGTGCGTACATTTAAATATATGTAATTACAATATACACATACATTGTGCATACATTAAAAAAATTTATATGAGTAAAGTTATTAAAATTTGTTTTAAAATTATTCTAAGGTATATGAAACTCGACCTCATATTTTTTAGAAAGCAAACGATAATTTTATTTGGAATTTCTAAATATTAATTCCACACATAAAATTTACCGTTTTTCTTACCATTTAAAAAATTTCTATGAATCATGCATTATGTTATAAAAAAAATAAATCTGTATTGTCAAACATTTCATGAAAATACCTGAAAATAATTTTTTATTCAGAGAATTTCAAAATGATATAGAACAATTAAAGCTGAAAACTAAATTTAAATATCGTTTGATTTTGTCATTTAACTTGCTTGAGTCATTAAAAGTTAACTTACATGCATTTTATTTATTGCATTGTACACATATTTAGACATAAATGTAATGTACATATGTATACGTGTAATGTATGTACGCATGTACAATGTATGTACATACATTCATGTATTGTACGTGCATATATAGTACATATGGATATGCATACATGGAACATACGTGTATTGTACATGTGTGGATACATTCATTGTACATATATACATTGCACCATATGCATAGATAGGGATAGCATGCATGTACACATGTAAAATTTGTACGAAAGAATTATGCCCAATATATTTATGCACATACGTACTGTATATGTACACACATATGTACATTATATGAACATTATATGTTCATTTCATCATATGTACATTATATGAATATACATCTGTACGCTATATGTATATACATCTGTACGCTATATGTATATACATCTGTACAATATATGCATCTCAAATGTGTGTATGTACGTACGTTATGCATGTCGAATGCATGTATGAATATATGTGAAATATAAATACGCCCAATGTACGTACAATAGTTCACAAATGTATTATGCATATTTGGATACTTACATTGAGCATGAACATATTATGTACATGTACATAAATACACTGGACATGCATATCATGTACATGTATACATACATATATTGTACATCCTACAGATATACCTATATTGTACATGCATACATATATTGTACTGTTCATAAATAAATTGCACATACATGCATGGGACATACATTGTACAGACAATGTATGTATGTTCGTACAAACACAAGTACTTGTATATACATGCGTACATGAACATAGATATACATTTTACATACACAAATATTTGCATAAAATGCATATATTCATTGTGTATAAATGTACATGCCTACATTGTTTGCACATACATACGTAATTATTATCTATATACATACGTACATATATTTTATACCTACAATATAAGTGTATGTACATGTGTGTGATACTAAAATGTCTGAACATATGCACTAGATAAAATCATATGTACATACATTTCAGTTACATTCATTTGTACGTATACAAATACGTACAAAATGCAGTACATGTTAATACGTGCAAAATGTATCATTATAAAATACATTCTACTATCTACTGTAAAATATAATCATTTATAAGAATACAATAGTCTTGTAATCGTGTAATTGGATTACATGTAATCAAAATTACATGTAATCAAATTACATGTAATCAAATTACATGTAATCAAATTACATGTAATCATATATTTTGATTACTTGTAATCATAATTACTTGTAATCGTTTTTGTTGTGATTACTTGTAATCGCAATTACTTGTAATCATGATTACAAGTAATTGATTACTGTAATCAAAATTGTAATCATGATTACAGCTGTAATCAAAATTTTTTGAAAATTGTAATCATGATTACAAGTAATTGATTACTGTAATCGACTATGTAATCATGATTACAGCTGTAATCAAACTTTGTAATCACGATTACAAGTAATTGATTACTGTAATCAATATTGTAATCATGATTACAGCTGTAATCAAAATATTTGAAAATTGTAATCATGATTACAAGTAATTGATTACTGTAATCAAAAAATGTAATCGATTACATTTTTGGCCAACTCTGGCATGCACTACAAGAATAAGGATTCTCACAAGTATGAACACGACTATGTCTGATCAGACTACTTTATAGTGAAAAAATTTTATTACATGCATTACAAGAATAAGGCTCCTCACCAGTATGAACATGAGTGTTTTCTCAGATAACTTTTTAGTGACAAGCTTTTATTACATAAACTATAAGAATAAGGTTACTCGCCAGTATGAACATGACAGAGTTTATTCAAAGTCACTCTATGTAAAAAACCCTTATCACATATACTACAAGATTAAGGCTTCGGGCCAGAATGAACACGATAGTGTTTATTCATCCTGTGTAGTGAGATGACTTTTGGGTGAAACATTTTTTTAACATATACTATAAGAATAAGGTTTCTCACCAGTATGAACAATACTGTGTTTATTCAGAATCCCTCTCGTTGAAAAATTCTTATTACATATACTACAAGTATAAGGCTTCTCACCAGTATGAATACGATTGTGTTCAGTGAGAGAACTTTTTTGTGAAAATTTTTTATTACATATATTACAAGAAAAAGGCTTCTCACCAGTATGAACACGACTGTGTATTTTCAGATGATATTTTTGTGAAAAACTTTTATTACACATATTACAAGAATAAGGCTTCTCACCAGTATGAACACGACTGTGATTTTTCAGATGACATTTCTGTGAAAAACTTGCATTACATATACTACAAGAATAAGGCTTAGGCATCTCACCAGTATGAACACAATTGTGTGCAGTGAGATCCCTTTTTATGGAAAATTTTTTATTACATATATTACAAGAATAAGGCTTCTCGCCAATATGAACAATACTGTGTTTATTCAGAATCCCTCTAGTTGAAAAATTCTTATTACATATACTACAAGAATAAGGCTTCTCACCAGTATGAACACGATTGTGTTCAGTGAGAGAACTTTTTTGTGAAAATTTTTTAATACATATACTACAAGAATAAGGCTTCTCCCCAGAATGAACACGACTGTGTTTTTTCAGATCACTTTTTTGGGAAAATCTTTTATTACATATATTACAAGAATAAGGCTTCTCACCAGTATGAACACGACTGTGTTTTTTCAGATGACCTCTTTGTGAAAAACTTTTTTCACATATATTACAAGAATAAGGTTTCTCACAGGTGTGAACATGACTGTGATTGGTCAGACTACTCTTTAGTGAAAAACGTTTATTACATATACTACAAGAATAAGGCTTCTCACCAGTGTGAACATGACTGTGATTGGTCAGACTACCTTTTAGTGAAAAACGTTTATTACATATACTACAAGAATAAGGCTTCTCACCAGTATGAACACGATTGTGTCTAGTGAGATTACTTTTTCGTGAAAAAATTTCATCACATATACTACAATAATAAGGCTTCTCACCAGTATGAACATAATTGTGTACAGTAAGAGAACTTTTTTGGGAAAATTTTTTATTACATATATTACAAGAATAAGGCTTCTCACCAGTATGAACACTAATGTGTCTAGTGAGATTACCTTTTTGTGAAAAACTTTTATTACATATACTACAAGAATAAGGTTTCTCACCAGTGTGAACATGACTGTGGTTGGTCAGACTACTTTTCAGAGAAAAAATTCCATTACATAAACTACAACAAGGTTTCTCACCAGTGTGAACATGACTGTGTTTGGTCAGACTACTTTTTAGTGTAAAAATTTTATTACATTCACAACAAGAATAAGGCTTCTCACCAGTATGAACACGACAGTGCCCATTCAGAGTCTCTCTATCTGAAAAACTCTTATTACATATACTACAAGAATAAGGCTTCTCACCAGTATGAACACGATTGTGTCTATTCAGAGTCCCTCTGTGCGAAAAACTCTTATTACATGTACTACAAGAATAAGGCTTCTCACCAGTAAGAGCACGACTGTGTTTAGTCATAATACTTTTTTTCTGTAAAACTCTTATTACATATACTACAAGAAGGTTTCTCTCCAGTATGAGCACAACTGTGTTTATTCAGATGCTCAGTTAGAGAAACTATTATTACATATACTACAAGAGAAAGGCTTCTCACCAGTATGAACACGACTATATTTTATCAGATTACTTTTTTGGTGAAAAACCCTTATTTTATATACTACAAGAAAAAGATTTTTCACCAGTATGAATTTTAGTGTTTTGTCAGACTTCTTCCATAAATCTCTGATTAGAATAACAAGAATAAAGTTCACTTACAGGATGATACTTATTCTGAATTAAACTAGGCCCTTAATAACATATGATACAAAAAAGAGCATGCTGTATCAAGTCACTTACTCTAAATAAATCTTTAATTAAGTAAAATATAATACTGTAGAAATATGATCAACTTACAGCAGGCATATGATTTATTAATAGATGCATTTGTGAAAACATTAATTTAAATAGTAATAAAATTTAAATATCTTCTATTTTTCTCAAACTTCTTAAATGATATTTCATTTTTGTTAAACATACCAAAATATGAAACTAAATTACTTCACTTCATGTTTTTTTATCACAAAAAAACTGCAGAAACAATGTACAACATTATGTATTAGATTCAATTAAAAAAGAAAAATTTTCTTTTACACAAACTTAAAAGGTTAAACATTATGTAATAATATATTAAAAAAAACTTTAAGTGCCAATTTTTATATCAATGTTCTATCATGCACAAGAAAAGCAAGCACTTATTTCATTACCATACATTTGAGAAGATCACAGGAAAATCACAATTTAAATTTCTTGTGTATAAATATCAAATCATATGTGTTTTATGAAAGTGACAGACAGCTTACTTATCTGCAACTGTAACCAACAATTTTAATCTATTTATAACTGTTTAATAATGCACTGCATGAAAAGTTCGTTTAAAGTGTTACTTAAACAAAATTATTCTCTTTTGCTTGATTAATTTATCACAATGACTGCTTGAATAAATTATTTATATATCATGAACTCGAAACAATTAAATGAAACTACTTTTTTTTGTACACTTTCAAGAACAGAAGTAAAATGTTTTGTAAAAAAAAATGCATAATTATGAACTACACTTTGAAACTTATTTTTTTCAGTCAGAACATCATTGCAACTGTAACACACATTTCACTACATAGATTGTCACTGCCAACATAGAATAAGATTGCCTTTAATAATGTTTCCTTTTGCCAGAAAGAAATGACACACACTTAATGAATAGTTAATTGATTATATAAATCATACAGAAAAAACAATCTTTAAAAAGATTTATGCAGGCAAAATATGAATTTTATTTACTGTCAGCAAGAAGATATTTTATCATTCACATCAACTTTTTTTCTGTTTAAAGAAGATAATATATTAATCAGATCTGCATGGAAATAATCCTTTCAAAGCGCTATCTATATTGTTTCCATTACTATGATGATAATTCACTTTATATTTGTGAGATGATGGATATTATAAATTTAAGCCAAGAAGGGGCAAATCAAAAACAATTTTTTCAAAGCTTTTCTTGACACAAATAAGGTCAATTAAAGTCGTCTTCGGTAAAGAGATAAGTAAGAAAGTATGTTTTAATATAGTTTATCTCAGCAATTTTTCAACAAATAAGTACATATTTGCGGTGACAGTTGGTTACCTTATCAGTTGCTAATTCAACATACCTGATGTTCAGAATCTTTGGACCGTCTTTAAAAAGTAGAGGAAGGTACTACAGATTATCAGCTTATTCTTTTCTGAAGTAAGCATTCATACTGCATTGTAAAAAACTGCATATGCGATTCCAAAAGATGCAATTGAGAAAATGTGTGGAAGACTTTTTGCGAGTAAAGTACTTCACTAATGAAGTCTCGTTTGGATCTTAGAATTTACAAACATCAGTTTTTAGCTTGCACTATTTCTGTTTCTTTAAGGACCATTATCACAGTTTACATTTAACANCAGAGCTCATTCTAGGCAGAAAAAAGGGCAGGGTGCAGAAGTTTAAAAAAAGGGCATTATTATTCTAAAAAGGCAATAATTTCTTTCTATGGTCTTTACACGTTCTAAATAATTATGATTTAATGCTAGTGGAAGTAACTGCAAACTTTCAAAGACAAGTGCAACAAGGGGGTGTGGTGGCTATTTTTCCTTTCCAATATAAATCTATGTATTGACAAACTAAATCAATGACAAACTAAATAAAAAGAATTGAAAATAACAAAAATTTAAGAAATCCATAGTAGAGTTTGGGGAAAAAACAAAGAAGGGTTGAGGAAAAAAAGCGTAAAAAGGGTATGCAGTCTATTATATCAGGGCACTAATTTACTTCAGGGGCAACAGGGTGGATTCTTTTGACTAAAAGGGCAGCAGGGTGCTGCGTCCTGTTTACCCAGCCTAGAATGAGCTCTGCCTTATCAGTTGCTAATTCAACACACCTGATGTCCAGAATCTTAGGACCGTCTTTAAAAAGTAGAGGAAGGTACTACAGATTATCAGCTTATCCTTTTCTGAAGTAAGCATTCATACTGCATTGTAAAAAACAGCATATGCGATTCCAAAAGATGCAATTGAGAAAATGTGTGGAAGACTTTTTGCGAGTAAAGTACTTCACTAATGAAGTCTCGTTTGGATCTTAGAATTTACAAACATCAGTTTTTAGCTTGCACTATTTCTGTTTCTTTAAGGACCATTATCACAGTTTACATTTAACACACCTTTGATGAGAGCCTAAATTGATGCGACGATTGAAAGTGCGTTAATCACATTTTGTGTCAACACTCCTTATATTAGAACATATCTGTATACAAAAGAGATTTTTCTATATATTTATGTATAATAGAGAATACTTTAAGATATCTATCTTCCATTTACTAAGAGATTTTAAATTACGCTACGCTTTTCTTGTAATTTTAACAGTCGCAGTTAACTGAATACTTCAAAATTGGCGATCGAAATGGGCTGCAGGGGGCGTAGAGCAGAACTCTCTACCTATGGCAACACTGCACATGCCTTGGCCACCAAAATATCTATATTTTTGTTTGCCAAGGCACATGCTTTCCACATTAGCGTGTGGAAAGAAGAGGAAGGAAGTACGTTAGTTTCTTTTTTGATTTTCATAGGTCGCGTTCCAATATTCGCACCGGTGACACTGGTTACACGAAAGCAAACTAGTCACGTGACCTCAGTTCGCACCGTAATTTAGGAACGATCGTTGCGGTTAGGACCAGTTCTGGTTGCCATTAGCAACCAGAAGCAGACGCTCTCCTCTTTTGGAATCTTTGAGAAAAATATATTAATAATAACAAATTTATTTTTTGTTCTGTTATATTTATTTCTTGACCATTCTATTTTTGCATTACTTGTTAAAGAATATATATTTCTAGACTTTTAAAGCTGTTTCATATAATAAAGCAAAATATCATGATTAGTTTCAGTTTATCTTATTTATTTTAAGTAAACTAAAAATAGAAAGTAAAACTTCTGTTTCTTATTGCATATTTTTCCTAATTAAATGTTTATTTTAAAATGCATCCATCATCTCAGTAAGTTTTATATTTAAATATTTAACAAAATTAAAGAGAAAAATAAAAATCTGCTTAGTATTTATCTGCTTAGTATAAAATATTTTGGAAATCATATTTTTGAAAAATTAGTAATTTAATTAAGCTAAGTCACCTTTCAAAATTATCTTGTACAATATATAAACTTTAACGGTAATCAAGTCGAATGCAGAGCACAACAGTATTTAAATATTTTAATACTTCAAACCCACCTCCAATCCTAACAGCATAATTAGTTTTAAAAAATATATTAACCAAATTTTATTCACCTTTTAGCTGTTGCCCCAGTTGAAAGTACTTTGATCACAATTTTAACAAAATAGTTAACACAGAGGAAAAAAATTAGATTACTGTACGGTAAAAAAAAATCCCTCCTAATACTGGATAATAAAACCAAAATATATAGTATTTATATATTTCACTTCAATTTTCCCATTCACAAGATAACGATTTTCTGAAAATTCTGGTTTTCAAAATTACCCACACACAATTAATAAAAAATACTTAACTGAAAAGCGAGTTTAAGTGAATAAATTAATTTTAGGCCATGCTCTAAGGTATCATGAAAAAATTATTAAACTTTACCAAACTTGATTACATATTATAAAACCATATTTTATTTATGGTGTTTATTTCTATAAAATTACAAGATGACTCTAAATAGATACTTAATGCATAACTAACTGTAAAGCTTGGTGCCAAATATTTTTATTAATTTACAAATAGCACATGGACAAACAAATTTGATTAATTAAGAGGAGAAAAAAAGGGCCATTCGGTTTAAAATCTGAGCATCCACTGCCTGGTATGTGGAGGTGCTGTGGTAGCTTGGCGATGTAGGTGCTGCAAGTTTTTATATAGTTAACATTTCTGTATAAAAAGCTACTTGTTGAATTCTTTTTTTCAAATTTTTTTTTTTATTTTACCAGTTATTTGAAATTCTATTTTAGCATTAATAGTATTAGCAATAGAAAGAAAATAGTTGTCAAGCCACTTTTCTTGAATTCTACTGTGAAGCACTTATGCTGTTTAAAATTTACTTTGAAACACTAAACAGTGTTGCTAATATATAGAGAAATACCATGGTGCCACATGGGAGAAATATTTATAAATAGATAACATACTTACCTGAAATGAGTTTGTGTTAAAAAGAGAGAAAGATATTATTATAATTTTGCTACAAGTGGGAGCTTTAGTATTCCATCACAACTATACAATTATTGTATTTAAGTAAAAAAAAATGTTTTAATACAACAATATCATTTTATTGTAATATATATACATAAAACTTAAATTTTAAAAAAAAATTAAGAAACAAAAATGTTGCAACAAAACAAGATATGAACTAATGATAAAGTTTAAAGCGTTTTTATTTGTTTACATTCAAAAATAAGAAATTCACTAATATTGTAACCTGCAGATATTGCTGTAATAAAAAATTTTCCATGTTGGACAGAAATATTTAAATTTGTAGTAATATAACTACACATAGTGACAGCAACCTTTGCCATCAAGTTTAAAATCGTTTCAGATAAACTTAACTATTGTTTGCAATTAGTGTGAAATAATGGTGTATACGAAGATGTTTCACATAAAGTTAAATCTCCCTGTCATAACTATTAAGTTGTATTTGTCAGAAATGTTTTAAATCAAACTTTTAAAATAAGTTCAAATATTAACCCGAAAGTTTAAGATGACACAAGCTAGTCAATAATTCACTTATTTCAGTCTTTTTTTAAAAAATTTTTGCCAAAAGTTAGATTTAGTAGTATAATTCAACAAAAAAAAAGTATACAAAACAACAGTTATTACTAAGTGTTTCAGAAGTTTTCAAGTTAGTGTTATAAAAATAAATATTTATATTACATATAGATCAATAATCACGTAATAAATACCTTGAATTAAAAAATAATTATCAATAAGAAATAGAAATCTTGAAACAAAAAGTAATGAACTAATAAGAAATGTACCTGGGGCTTAAGCGGCTACCAGGCGCGACGGCAGGTGGTGGATAGCCGAATGTCCTGTAGCACTGACAGGATAACCTCTGAATAACAAATAGGAGGTCGCGAACCAACTCCCGTAACCCAGGTGTTACGCGACCCGCGCCTTGGGTGAATGGCACTGCGGTTATAGTGTCTTAACGGAGCCTCTAGTTTGACTGGCGAACATCTAGAGTAATTGCCTTACCCAGTAACTCAGGCAATGCTGGGCTGACTTTCTTCACCTGAGCTTTTTATTTGAGGTAATTTATGGCTGAAAATGACAAAAATACAACTCAAATTACTGCATTTGCAGGTGAAAATCCCAAAGTAGATCTTTCTGCAAAAGAAAAGGAAACTAGGGAAAAACCAACTGAAGGAGAAAAAATGAACCCTTCATCAAAAGAGGTAGAAATGACCTCTACCCAATCAACATCTCAAGTGGGGCAGGAAGCTATTAATAGCATGACTGCCTCCATGGATGGGATCAAACTTAAAAAAAGACTATCTGGTGCACAGAAAAAGAAACTTGCCCGAGAAAAGAAGATGGCTGAAGGTACCTGGGTAGAAAAACCCAAACCAAAGCAGAGAGGCGAGAAAAGGCAAAGCCAAAGGATGGAACAAGATGTAGCCCCAAAGGCTGCCAGGAAAGAAGGACCTGAAGGTATAACCTTTAAGGAAGCTCTAACGACAGTTAAAATAGCTGTGATTCTTGAAGGACATCCTCTTGAGCGCTTATCCGAAGAACAGTAGGCCCTAGACCTTGAGTTCTTAATAACTGAAAAAATTTCTAGAAATGAAGAGGGTTTTGTCCCCACTTTTCTTTCTTGCAGACTAGAAAATGGGGCACTTATCATCAATTGTGCAGATCTGGGGAGCTCTAAGTGGCTGGAACAGATTGTAGTTGAGATAAACCCATGGCAGGAGCAAACTCTCTTGGTAGGAGAGGCAAGGAAACTTGTCAGAACTACTAAGATCATTGCTAAACTGCCGAAAGTCTGTAGTAAACTGGAGTCCAAAGAGGTTCTGAGAAAGATTGAGGCACAAAATGGTGGGCTTACTCCAACCGAATGGAACATACTTCATCGGAAGAATGAACCATCAGGACAGACCATCGTCCTTAGCGTGCCTGAACTGGACGCGGCTACACTTGGCAAAAGGGGATATAAATTTTATATCGGACTTCACCAAGTTCAAGCCAAAGTCCTAGACAAACCTTCCAAAAACGATGGGGGTGAAGGTTCTTCAAGCCAACATCCACCACAGTAGAAGTGGCACCACAAACCTCACCAAGAAATTTCTTGATGAGGATTTTCACCTGGCCCTGATCCAAGAACCTTGGCTTGTCAGGGGAAAAATCAGTGGCCTCAAAGGAACAAAAGGTAAGCTCATTTATAATCTTAATAGTGAAGCTAGAACATGTATCCTAATAGATAAAGATATTAAGGTTCTACCTCTAACAGATTTTATTCATAGGGATTTAACAGCAGTGAAAGTCAGACTCAACATAGAGGGAAGAGACCGAGAAATTGTTTTTTGCTCAGTCTACCTACCCTATGAAGAGAAGGCTCCACCTGACCAAACACTGCACAAACTCCTGCAGTTTTGTGCAGAAAACAGCTTGCAGGTAGTCTTAGGGCTGGACTGCAATGCTCACCATACTGTATGGGGCAGCACAGACACAAATAAAAGAGGTGAGTGTCTTTTAGAATTTATTCTTAATTACAATTTAGATATTTTGAATAAAGGCAATGACCCTACCTTTATAACTTCTAATCGTTCTGAAGTAATTGACATTACTATAGCAACACCGGCTATTAGTAAAAATATCACGAAATGGAAAGTAGATGGGAGACCATCAGGTTCCGACCATCAAAACATCCATTTTGAAATAAACTCCAATATAAATATTGACCGCTGCTTCAGAGACCCCATGAGAACAAATTGGAAGAAATTCCAAGA